TTTTAAAAAACACCCAAACACCAAAATCCCAATTTGGTTCTTCCAAAATGTATCTTTCCTCCCTGAACTAAGAACTCATGTACTGCCATTTATGAAGTGCCCTTTTGAAATTTCAGACTGGTGCAAATAGTTACTGTGCTTGAGTACTAATTGAAAAATTGGAGATTTGAGTCCATCCACAGACTCTCAGAAGAAAAGTCTGGTAATCTACTTCCAAAAACCTCAGCTACTCCTTGGAAACCCTATACAGTGTTGCTATGGGTCTGAACCGTCTTGATGACCCTTGCCAACAAAGGTGTGTATATATATGTGTGTGTGTGTGTGATGTGTAGATATGTGTATGTATATATATATGTGTGTGTGTGATGTATATGTGTGATGTGTGTATATGTGCATGTGGTTTATGAATGCTGTATATGATGTATGTTGTGTGCATGTGATGGGTGTGGCATGTAAATATGTTTGTGGTATATGCATGTGATAGATATGATTTATGAGTGTTGTGTATGCACATGTGGTATGTATGTGATGTGGCATGCATATGTGTGTGTATATTTGCAATGTGTGTATGAATGTGGTATAATGTGATGTATGAGTGTTGTATATGTGTACATGTATATGTATAAAGAATCTCCTTCCAAACAGGAAAAGCTCAGAGTTCTGGAATTCTTTTCTGGGCTATTCCCATGTTCCTATGTCATTTTCACAAAGAAAGAGAAAACTCCCTGTTTGGCCCATTTTGGGGTTTCCTTAACCTACCTTCTGTGGGTAAGATGGGGCTGTGTGGCATTCTACAATGCAGATCTCCTGACCATAAGTCACTCAGTGTTCTGCTTGTGAAAGAAGATTGCTCATGGAAGGTTAGTGCCTATTTGACAGGATCTTCTTTCTGAGCTGTTGGCAAGCTTAGCAAGGGGCCTGCATATGCCCATCCTTCTAAATCAAGGTTGTGAACAGAACATTCTAGCCTTACACCATCAATATAATATGCTAAAAAATATGTTGTGCATGCTGGTTTGCATTCATTTAACAGTGTACTATATATAAAAAAAGTCATCACAAATTTTTAATTTTTATTAAAGATCATAGCTTTAAAATATCCAAAATGGCTCAATTTTTACATAGGAAATATGAAAGGGCCTTTAAAAAGTTCATGGAAAATTCTATTATCTTTCAATGCCATCTTTTCATCTTTTTGAAGCTGGGAGGCCTGAAAATTAAGTAGTCACACCTCTGCAGGTGACAATGCAGGCACCACTGCAGTCACTGAATCTTATGAAAATATGAAGCTGTTGTTGTTGTTAAGTGTTGTTGACTCAGTTCCAGCTCACAGCAACCCTTATAGGGTTTTGAAGGAGGAGCTGGTGGGTTTGAACTGCCAGCCTTGTGGTTAGCAGTCCTATAACTCCAAATATGAAGTTACTACTTAACAAATAGAAGTATAACTAGATGACAAAAGGAGCCCTGGTGGCACCATATGATCAGCACTGGATTGCTAATCACAAGGTCAATAGTTCAAACCCACCAACCACACTGTGGGAGAAAGACATGGCTTTGTGCTCCAATAAAGATGTATGGCATTGGAAACCGTATATAGGGTTGCTATGCATGGGAATTGATTAAATGGCAGCAAGTTTTTTTAGGTAGGTGACAAAAAGTGTGGGTGAATGACATGCTCGGCTTTAAAACATTCATATAACCACTTTCACACCTGAATGGACTGTTTCTGTTATAGAAACTTTTGGTCTCACTGGAGAATAAGGTATGTGACACCCAGTCTATGTGATTTGGGTCACATCATCTGTCATGCTCCTTTGCTTCCAGATAGAGAAGGATTAGAAGTTGAAAGGCACAAAGAATGAGCACATATCCCACTGTGAAACCTGGTTGGAACAATCTAGAAGGATGCAGCAGGCAGCCCAAGCTAGATATACTGGAAGAAGCCAGGAAACCTTTCCCAAATTTTCAAATTCACCCCCTTTCATATGATAAATTCTTCAATTAACTTGGCTTTCTTTATTTGCCTTCTCTGTTATCCAAGCAGAAGGAGAACTTTCCCTAACTACAGGACATCATTTTCACTGGCCAAGACTTCCACACACTGGCCACAGAGGAGAGTCTACACACTAGAGCTGTTCTACCAAGGGCAGAAGCTCAGCAAAGAGTCTGAGACAGGTAGGGACCCTGTCTACTTATTTTGTCTTTGGCAGTGGAGAGAGACCTCTCTTGTCCATTTACATGCTAGAAGTAAGATAGAGTAAGATAGGAGCGACTGCTAAATAATTTGGAAAATTATACCCAAAGAAGGTATATACTCTATACCTTTTAGTAGGAACAGATTAGGGATTTCCTGAGGCCCTCCTTTCCTGGCCCATACCAAAGAAAGGCAGAACCATGATAAACCAACTGAGAACCAGGAACACTGACCACAAAAACCTTGGACACATTTTGTGGTTTACGACGTGGATGTACCAGCACAGAACAAAGGACTCATCCTTAGCATGACCTTTTGATGTACACTGGCTTACTGTAATATCATTAATATATGTATCCATCCTGCATACAATTAAAAACCTCTGACTCGGCATTCTATGCTAACACAGAAAAGGACTGATGAAACCCAATCAAGACTTCCCAAACCACTTATCCTGGTCACACTGACTCCTCTAGGGGAGGAGCTCTTAGTTTATCAAACCTTGCTACTCAATTCCTCAGGTTCTACTTGCAGAGACAGAAATACTTACTTCTCTCTCTGAAGTGTACTATCACTTTGCAATACAATAGTGTGAGTGAATGCCCAGTGTGCTTGCATCCTTGAGAAGTCAGTCAAGTCTGATTCTTCAGATTTCTGGAGAGGGGGACCAGCAGACATATGACAAATTTATTACCTACCTGCTACATGGCACATAACAACAACAACAATAAACCAGTTCCAAAAACTGAACTTTATTACAAGTGTGGAATTGTAAGGTAGCACTGGACTGTAAACCATAAAGTCAGCAGTTCAAACTGGTCCTTGAAAACCCTATACATGGTCCCTGTGAGTCGGAACTGATTCAATGGCACATAACAACAACATATGGGTAAAAGAAGGAAGATACCAAGTATTTAGCATCATAATCCCTTTCTTAGAGAGGACCACAACTTCATTGCTGTTGTTGTTAGGTGCCATCGAGTTGGTACTGACCCATAACGACCTTATGCACAGCAGAATGAAACACTGCCTAATCCTGGGTCAACCTCTCGACTGTTGCCATGCTTGAGTCCATCGATGCTGAGAAATTAATTAAAACCCAGCAAATCTAACAATTTTATGATTATAAAGATGAATTTTGACTACCCAAGAGATTTTTGGTTTTGATATTCTTAGTTTCAGGAACTATAAATATGTATTGTATTTGTTCAGCCCTTTCAGTATATGATAATCCTCTCTTTTTAATTAAATGATTAAACCATCAGGTAGTATAATTCCAAAAGACATGGACAGCTTTTAAAAATTTCTTAGCACAGTCATACAAGTGACTTATGTCCTCTTTGGCTAAGTCAAGGTACAAGTTGTTATATTTCTCCATACCTCGATCACCTCTATTAAAAGGAGAGCATCCTCTACTATATATAGTTTGGGTATACAATGGAAAATGACTAAGGTGTAGTTGAATATGGGATCGTTTCAAGTTCATGTATATGCATACACATAAAGATTAGGAAGAAATATTTCTTTAATTTTCAAGGGTGAAAAGCAAAACTATCTTAGTGTTTCATCTTATTCACATGATTGATGATGTGAATAAGATCAAACACTAAGATAAGGTTAGTAGTAAGACTACTGAATTGAAAATGATTTTCAGGTTTGTGTCTTCAGCCTAAAGTCATGCATACCATACTTAACAAGGTAGTGAGAGTTAGGGTCTGTGAATTGTTAATAAATTAACTCCTAGAAATTAAACTTTAGGTGGCTTGAAACACCATGTTCTCTCCACTGAGGACACAGAATAAGATGGTGTGGTGGGGAGGTTCTACACTCTTTTAAAAGAAAGGACAATGGGACCACATTTATAATACCAGCCTGAAACAATCTGTCAAAAACTCATAGACAACCAGAAACCCACCCAGCCTTCTATTTGATCCAAAATGGCAGGCATATTGCCTTTGTTAAACAGTCTCCAACATAGAACTTTATTTACTAGTTACATATAAGTGCCATGCAAAAGATGGTCTATAGGAGAGAACATTTCTGTTAGAAAGTATGCCCACCCAATTCATTCAGATAGTCTTCATTTTTCACATAGATTAAGCCTTCTGTCTCATAACACAAAACAAAAGCAGGTTCCAGATTTTTTTTGTTGTTGTTGCTTAACCAGTTTCATGCACTATTGAACTCATCTAAAAAAGCAAAACAAAATAAAACAAAAAAATCTTAGACTATTTTTATACTTAGGAAAACATCTCTGTAGCCAGGCACACATTTTTACTATCAAAGCCATGTTCTAAAGGCAGTCAAGTTTCTTCCGTCTCTTCCCTTCCACTCTTGTATTTCACAAGTCATGTTATAACTACATCTTGGGAGGTTTTGAGAATTCCGAGTTCACAAATGCTATACACTACACAATGAGACTGTCTCTGGGCAGGCCTCAGGGTCTGCTAGGTATTCAAATTCATCACAGAATTCTTAGAACTGGGAAGACATAATAGGAATTTGGAATCAGCTCCTAAAAATAACCTGTTAAGAAAACTATGTATACAAAAAAAAAAAAAAAACAAATGGACCAGGTAGCCCCTTGATCCTGCAGCCAGTCTTTCTTTACACAGACATTCTGTGGCTTTATTTGCTTTGTAGAGGCCATGCCCTAGGGCAGGCTTTAGGTAACAACTGTCCAAACACATGGCTTGCTCCGCCAGTGCACAGAGAGCAATGGAAGCACTAAAAATCAACTTATTTCACTACATTTTCCTGTGATTGTTTGTTGGATCAAAGACAGCAACAGACAGCACTAGGATAGTTAGTTAACCACGTCATAATAGTAATTCCGCAGCCGCAACTCCACTGCTACGAATCCAGGTCTGTTTTCCACCCTAAAAAGGAAAGAGATACATTATTGTTTGCCAGTGCAGATTGTAGGATGAATTGTGCCCCCTAAAAAGTATGTTGAAGCCTTAATCCTAGTAAATGTGGATGTGACCTCATTTGGAAATAGGATCTTTGCAGATATAATCAAGATAAGATGAGGATAGACCCTAAGCCAATATGTCTGGTGTCCTTATAAAGGACTATGTGAGTCAGAGATAGAGACTGGAGTACAGTATCCATAAGGTAAGGAACATCAAGGATTGCTACCAACCACCAAAAGATGAAGAGGTCAGGAAGCATCTTCCCCTAGAAGCTTCAAGAGGTCTGAGTCCTGCTGGCATCTTGATTTATAAATTAATGTTTGGTGGTGGTGGTATTAAGTGCCATCGAGTCAGTTCTCACTCATAGCAACCTGAACAAAGCACTGCCCAGTTCAGCACCAACCTCACAATATTTTCTATGTTGGAGCCCATTACTGCTATCACTGTACCAATCCATCTTGTTGGGGGTCTCCCTCTTTTGGGCTGACCTTCTACTTTACTAAGCAAGATGGTCTTCTCCAGGGACTGCTCCATTCTGATAATATGCCTAAAGTATGAGAGATGAAGTCTGGCCATCTTGGCTTCTAAGGAGCATGCTGGCTGTGCTTCATCCAGCACAGATTTGTTTGTTCTTTTGGCAATGCATGGTACTTTTAAGAATCTCCAGAATTCTGAGACAGTAAATTTTAGTTGTTTTATGCTACACTTTTTACAGTACTTTGCTATGGTAGTAGTGGTTGAGTGCCATGGATTGGTTCCAACTCATAGCGACCCTGTATAGGGTTTATGAGCCTGTCTTTATGGAAGAAGAAAGTCTCATTTTTTCCTGCAGAATGGTTGGTAGCCTGGAACAGTGGACTTTGTAGTTAGCAGCCCAATGAATAACCTACTATGTTATCAGGTCTCTTTTTGTTGTTGTTAAGTGCTGTTGAATTGGTTCCAACTCACAGCAACCCATAGCAACTCATAGTGGCTAGTGGATTTGAACCACTAACCTTGAGGTTAGCAGTCCAGTAGTTATTCTATAGCACCACACAAGGACTCCTTTTCTATGGTTGTTCTTGTTGTTAAGTGTTGTTGAGTCAGTTTGGACTGATAGTGACCCTGTATAGGGTTTCCAAGAAGTGGCTGGTGAGTAGTCAACCTCATGGTTCAAACCGACCTTGCAGTTCAGTGCTTATCTTACCTAGGAAATTAATATAATGAGTTTGTGAAAAAGTGCTGATTACAGGCGCTCTCTTACTTTTTTAAAATAATAACTTTATTGTGTTTATTTTCAGTGAAGGTTTCCACAACAGTCTAGGTTTCCATTCAACAATTTCTACACAAATTGTTCAGTGACATCCTTCACAATGAGTTCTTATTATTTCCATACTGATTCTTCATTTCCATTTATCTAGTTTCCCTGCCCTTTACCTTATCTTTTTCTTTTAGTGCTACATACATTATTTTTTAAAGGAGCATGTACTTATGGGTGATATTCTCTGTTTTGTGAGTCAATCTGGTTTTTGCTAAAATGTAACATCAGGATTAATTTTGAATCAAGGTTTAAAGAGTATCTCTTTGTTTTAGGGAGTCCTCCAGTCAACTAGCCCAGTAAGTCTAGATTTTTTTAAGAATTTGGGGGTTGGGGTTTTGCTCTGTGCACTGCTGCCAGCTCCTGTGGTCACTGCACATCTCTTTTCCACTAGCAGTGCACCTGCTGACCATTTTCCTGTCAGTTCCCAGGTTCATGGCTAACAAAAGCACACCTTCATCACTATCAAGCCAGACGATGGCAGCATGGCCTGGTGGATGATATCATCATGAGCTTTAAGAAGAAGGGATTCTGCCTTGTGGCCATGAAGTTCATGAGGGCCTCAGAGAAGCACCTGAAGCAGCAATCCATTGACTTTAAAGGCTGCCCAGTCTTACTGGGGCTGGTGAAGTACAGGAAATCAGAACTAGTTGTGGCCAGGGTCTGGGAGAGGACGAATGTGGTGAAGACACATCAAGTGATGTTTGGGAAACCAACCCAATCCCCAGAGGATTCTAAGCCAGGAATCATTCATGAGGATTTCTGTGTTCAAGTTGTCAGGAACAGCATTCATGGCAGTGATTCAGAAAAAAGTGTTGAGAAAGCAATCAAACTTTGGTTTAAGCTGGATGACTTGGTTGAATTTAAGTCTTGTAAATATAACTGGGTCTATGATTAAGAGGTGGACAAAACAGCAACCCCCACCCCCACCCCCCACACACCTTCACTTTTGACATTCTACAGCTTTTCATTCTACATATTTGGAAGCAAAGGAATATGAGGATCCTTTCCTAAAGCACATATACCAATTAACCAAAAAATCCTATGGAAACTGTAAAAACAAAAAAGAAAGAAAAGAATTTGAGGTTTTGTTCTACATTTTTCTACCATTTTATCTACCTATTGTGGCCCTGATCAGAATGGCTGACAATGGTAGATGGGCACCATCTAATTCATCTAGTCTCAGAGTAGATGAGGCTATGATTCTTATAGACTATTATTTCTATAGAAATTTCTTCCTCAATCTTTTATTCCTTCTTTCTCCATTTCTCTGAACAAATAGAAACCAATTATTGTATCTATTATTATGATCTCTTAAGGAATGGACCTTGGTAAAGAGCTCTGGTAGTGTAGTGGTTACGAGTCAGGCTGCCAACCTGAAGGTCAGCAGTATGAAACTTGGAGTACCTCCGCAGCAGAAAGATGAGGTGTTCTGCTCCCGTAAAGATTTATAGCCTCAGAAACCCTGTGCAGGGTCACTATGAGTCGGACTCGACTCTATAGTACTTAATCCACCACTCGTCTGTCAGTTTGTTGTACTGTGGTGGCTTGTGAGTTGCTGTGATTCTGAAAGCTATGCCACTGGTATTTTAAATACCATCAGGGTCACCCATGGTGGACAGGTTTCACATAAGCTTCCACACAAAGTCAGACTAGGAAGAAGGACTGACAAACTACTTTCAAATATTTAGTCACTGAAAAACTTATGAATAGCAGAGAAATATTGTCAAATATAGTGCCAGAAAATGAGCCCCTCAGGCTGGAAGGCATTCAAAATGCAACTGGGTAAGAGCTGCCTCCTCAAAGTAGAGTGAACTGTCATGACATGAATGGAGTAAAGCCCATGGGAGAAAAGCCCACGGGGCCTTCATTTGCTGATGGGGCACAACTTAAAATGAAGAGAAACAGCTGTAAACATTCATTGAAAATCAGAACATGGAATGTATGAAGTATGAATCTGGGAAAATTGGAAATTGTCAAAAATGAAATGGAACACATTAACATATATATCTGAGGCATTAGTGAGCTGAAATGGACTTGTATTGGTCATATTGAATCTGATGACCACATGGCTTACTATGCTGGAAATGACAAATTGAAGAGGAATGGTATTGCATTCATTGTCAAAAAGAACATATACAGATCAGTCATGAGGTACAACACTGTCTGTGATAGGATAATATCCATGCACCTACAGGAAAGCCCAGTTAATATCACTATTATTCAAATTTATGCACCAACAACCAAAGCCAGTGAGGATGGCATAGAAGAATTCTACCAACTTCTTCAATCTGAAATCAATCAAATATGCAATCAAGATGTGTTTATCATTACAGGTTATTGGAATGCAAAGGTTGGGAGCAAAGATCAGTAATTGGAAAATATGGCATTGGTGATAGAAATGATGCAGGAGATCACATAATAGAATTCTGCAAAGTCAATGATTTGTTCATTTCAAATACCTTCTTTAGACAGCATAAGAGATGATTATACACATGGAAATCACCACATGGCATACATAGAAAGAAAACTGACGACATCTGTGGAAAGAGACGATGGAAAAACTCCATATCATGAGTCAAAACAAGGCCAGGGGCAGACTATGGAACAGACCATCAATTACTCATATGCAAATTCAAAATGAAGCTGAAGAAAATGAAAACAAGTCCATGAGAATCAAAATATGACCTTGAATATATCCCACCTATACTTAGAGATCATCTGAAGAACAGATTTGATACATTAAACACTAAACACTGAATACCAGAAGAGTTGTGGGATGACATCAAGAACATCATACATGGAGAAAGCAAAAAGTCATTAAGAAGACAAGAAAGAAGGAAAAGATCAAAACAGATGTCAGAAGAGACACTGAAACTTGCTCTCTAGCATAGAGATGCTAAAAGCAAATGGAAGAAATGAGGAGATCTAAGAACTGAACAGAAAATTTCAAAGGTCAGCTCGAGAAGATAAAGCCAAATATTACAACAAAATGTGCAAAGAGCTGGAATGAGAAAATCAAAAAGGAAGAACACGCTCAGCATTTCTCAAGAAAAAATTCAAGCCTCAACTTTCGTTATTGAAAGAATCTCTGGGCAAAATATTGAATGATAAGAGAAGAGGGAAGGAATACACAGAGTCACTGTACCAAAAGGAAATGGTTAATGTTCAACCATTTCAAGAGGTAGCATATGACCAAGAGGCAATGATACTGAAGAAGGAAGTCCAAGGTGCATTGAAGGAATTGCAAAGAACAAGACACCAGGAATTGATGAAATAAAAATTGAAATCTTTCAAGAAAGTGAGGTAGCACAGGAGGCACTCACTCATCTCTGCCAAGAAATTTGGAAGACAAATATCTGATTGACTGATTAGAAGAGATCCATATTTCTGCCTATTCCAAAGACAGGTGACCCAATGGAATGCAGAAATCATTGGATAATCTCTTTGATATTCCATGTGAGTAAAGATTTACTCAAGGTAATACAGAAATGGCTACAATTATACATTGACAGAGAACTTCCAGAGTTTCAAGCCGGATTCAGAAGAGGCCTATCATTCAGAACGAGGGCTATCATTGCTGATGTCCGATGGATCTTGGCTGAAAACTGAGAACATCAGAAAGATGTTTACCTGTGCTTTATTGACTATACAAAGGCTATCGATT